GATGTGGAGCATCCTTGTAGCAGCCCTTTTGTTGTTTTAAAGCTTTTTGAGAGTCTATCTTCGATTTTTATAGATATTTGGTTTCCTTCAAACATTTTTTTGACGGTCTCTATTAATTTTTGTGGCAATCCGACGGTCTTCGTTGCCTTCCATAGTATCCCCCTGGGTATGGTGTCGTATGCTTTTTTTAGGTCTACAAAGGCTAAGTGAACCGCTCTATTTTTAGCCATTTTCTTCTCTATCACTTGTTGTAATGTATATATGTGGTCTATACAAGATCGACCCGCCGTAAAACCTGTTTGTTTTTCTCCAATTTTGCCTTTTATTTCTATTTCTAGTTTTGCCTTTACGAGTTTTCCATATAGTCTTCCCATAGATAATATTACGCTAATTCCTCTGTAATTTTCGCAATTTTTACCGTCGCCTTTTTTGAATATCGATGTCATATATGCGGTTGTCCATTCTTTTGGTAGTTGTTCTCCATTTATTGCTTTTAATTGCTTTTAATTCAATTGTGGCAAAACTTATATAACATTATCTAATTGTGGCAACATATATAGCTAAGAAAATCTTGGAGGGATTCTTGATCACGTAGCGTTTCCATAATTTTGGTTTTAGATGGATGGCGTCAACCGCTTTCTTCTTAAACGCTTCCATAAATATATTTGCGTGGACTGTGGTATTGGTGATAATGGAGAACTCATAACTCATATTTGATTATAAACATGCTCATTTGCTCAAACAGTATATAAGCAAGTACAAAGCGGAATGCGAGCCAGCTTCAGGTAAACTCATTGTCGATTTACCAAATACTGAGGCAGAATAAATCCAGAAGATCAGTAAATAGAATTTTGGTAAACTTCATAATGAGTTACGAAATAGTAATTTAAACAAGGAAAAGTTCATACGAGACACCTTAGTAGATAAATGAAACTAAAACTCGTATAAACGGAAAAGAAAAAAACAATTTTCCGATAAATAACTTCCCTCATTTCTCTACTATTAGCATCGATTTTTCCATTATTTTCCGATTTTTCGCGTTCGGCAAGTGGCGACGATGTCAGTTATGAGCGTTTAATAACTAACAATAGAACGAACTCCAATAAAATTGCCAGTATTCCCACTTGTGCATGCCCATTGTTTTAACTTGTCGCCATATTGATTAGATCGGTGGGAGCCGTATAAAATATTCTGTTATTGATTGCGAGTTGAACTTCGGGTCCGGTACCGAATTTCGAATGATATTTTTGGCACTGGAATGCTTTAAACCGTTATCGTTTTACTTAGAAATATTAAAACATGGCCGCTATGCTATTTCAATCAAAAGAGATCGTATCGAGTCCCACATCCGGATGATATTTCACGCAAAAACATCTGTTCCGGGTTTCCTTTCACAGACAACCCTTAACTTTGTCTCGTTCGCAATATTATCTCTGCCCAATTTATTTGAATATGGCGTTCGGGGTGTCTTATCTCGGCGAATGACTTTTCTGCGTGGTGACGAGTATGACACGGTATATACGACTTCTCCGCTTTGTGTCGATGTTTTATCGGCAGTAGAAACCTAAATTTTGAAAATTCAACCTGCATAATATCCGAGCGAAAAGTGTTTCATTATTGTGGCCCTGCTGATCTACTCCAAGTTTATCTGCTTACTTTTCTTGACTCAGATTGGCGATGGAAATACGCGAAACCCACGCAACCCCAATGATCAGCCCATTTTGATTTGTTGCCTCCTTTTTTGTTGAAAAATCATGTATATGACAACTTTGGAGAAAAAATAGCGGTTCTGTTTTCTAAACCGGTCATATATTTCGTCTCTTTCTTTGGATTCCAACATCAACATTAGATTTAACGTTAGTAAAGAAAAAATTTTAAATAGTTTGGACTTTTTCTTATAGGGGCATCTTAAAAGTCTGGTTTATCGCACCCCAGGCTAACACTGCAGAAGACCTGAAGGATTGTATAAGAGCTTCCTGCTATTTAATAAGAAACACTGGAGGTATTGCGATATTTTGACCACCGTTTTCGAGACATTAGGAGACACTTACCGGAATCCCGGCGTCAAATACTTTAAAAAAGGTATTAAAAAATGAAATCTGGTCTCCTCGTCGTAGGTGCCGTCTCTGCTGAGGATGGCGATCATCATGATTTCTTTTTTCCATCTATACCCTTACAGTATTAGTTTTAGCTGTTGAAATAGTAGTTTTCTTGCTTTTTGCTGTGGTATTAATACTTCTACATAATTGTTTTAGTAGTCCAGTTTGTTACATTTCAAATGTTTCCAGCCTCCTGAGATCCTGTTGCTTTAGAGTCCAAACCTCTTATCCATACACACAGCACTTCAATGTTTTCAGTACTTTATTTTTCTCCAATGACCGATAATTATATATATATGGTATATGTAGCTCTCGATATGTTGAACAGTGGTTTCAACATTTACTTGTTGTTCTTGCGGAGCCAAACTGAACATCAAGGTCTTGGTCTTTGAGGTATTGATTGTGGCTGTGTTCCATAAATCTATATATCAACGTTTGTAACTATCATCAAGGATGTTTCGATTTGAGCATATTTGAGATTATTGATCACAACGCAGTTTATTTTTGCTGTAATGAATAACAGCATGTAGGGGAGCCATCTTTTTCGCAAACATCTTCCTTTCTGAGTATATATTTGATAAAATATCCTATAAACTTTTGGTGTATTGCTGGTGGAAATCGTTAGCCTTTTCAAAACCTCGTTGTCTTTGACACTATTATTCGTCAGATATGAGAATGGACTCAGGCAAAAAGTGTAGCTAATGAACAACAATGATTCTCAAGAAATGAAATTACTCGTACCGAGATGTATGATTTTAGAAATACTGCAAAATAAACTGTGTACTCCAGTATTTTGAAGTGGTTAATGAATATTCTAGTGATAATGTGTATTGCTAAACAGAAGAAAAAACAATTTATGAAATATTACGAAATACTAGAGAAAGATTTTTAAAGATTGCCAAACCTATTTCGAGAGAAATCAACTTACCCATAATATAAAGAAAACTAATACAGTGTTGTTTACAACTAAACTTTGTGTGAAGAGCTTTACAAAGTGTGTGTTAAATTTGGGAGCAGTTTTAATTTCAATAACGTTTGAAGCCCGTTTATTTTTTGTGTACAGATGGAATGTCAACAATTAAGAGACGATTTTTGAGTCTATTTGAAAATTAAAACTTCATATGAACATATGTCCTAAACGTCTTAACTTTTGAGATACAAGGTGGTGAAGTTTTCAAAAATAAAATATATTTTTTTAATCTGTAATACCACTTTAGATATTTTAATGAAATTTGGCACACATGTACTACATATCAAGAAGCATTATTTTTTAAAATACACCATTTTTTTTTTAAATACACCAGTAGCGGGCGTATGGAATTTCACATGTCCATTTTGACAGACATTGATAATACGCCATTGATTTCTCTTAAAATAAAAATTATTCTTACAAACTCCAATCATTTCTAAAGAAATAAATAAAAACTGCGCATTATTATTTCTTTCTATAATATTTCCTCAATAACCACATTTGAGCCAATGAAAACCCGCATGCAGCTGTAGAATTTAAACTTCAAGAACAGTTTTCGATAAACGTTTGGGCCGGAATGGTTGAAAATTATTAAATTGTGCCCTTTGTGCTGTCAGAAGTGCTAAATGGCCATAATAATCGCCGGTTTTTAGAAGAGCATTGGCGAATATTGCTATTTGATGAGCAACACGTGATTCATGCACGACGGCGCTTCTTCTCACTTTAGTGTTGTGGTAAGAGCATATTGAAATCACACAGGTCGCTGTGGAGTTCAACCCCCCAGGTCCCCAGATTTAAATAATTTGGAATTTTTCTTATGGTGGCATCTTAAAAGTTTGGTTAGTGGAGTGCGATAATCCAGTTAACAATATAAAGCTGAAGGATTGTATAAGAGCTTCCTGCGATTTAATAATAAACACTGGAGGTATACTTCGAAGAGTGCGCGGCAATATGAGGAAAAGACCTCAATCTTGTATCCTTCAAGGTGGAGAACACTATCAACAACTTATCTAGTTTCTATGTTCTACTTTTTTTTACAAAGGGTGTTATTTATTTATTAAAAGACAATTTTGTTAAAAATAATAATAATATAATAATAATAATAATAATAAATAGTAGGTAGTGTTTTTTTAAAATAAGAATCGTTTATTATTTATTTTGTTGTTAGGTTATATTATTTCATTAAAACTGTGAAAGTAACAAGAATACTCTTCTAATATTTTTTTTTTCTGAAGGACACTAGTTGGTAACTAAAAACTCGACATTGCAGTGGCGACCTAACTAACCAAAATATTATTTGTTCATATAGCGTCACTGGCGCGCCACTGATTTCCTTAAAGAAATAATGACACTTGCAACAAATTTTTCTGCACGTTGGCATATTCATGATATTGTTATGACCATGAAGAGAAGAGGTTTTAATTTTTTTAAGCGAAAACCGTACATCAGATCAAAAAAAATCAAGAAATTAAATTTCTTTAGAAATGATTGGGCATCGCCATAATTTTTATTTTAAGAGAAATCAGTGGCGTAGCTACATGAATGTCTACCAAAATAAACATGTGAAATTCCGAATGCCCGCAACTGGTGTATTTAAGAAAATGCCTCTTGGATCATCTGTGCTAAATTTCATTAAAATATTTAAAGTGGTATCACAGATATCTCAAAATTAAGACCTTTATTACATATGTTCATATTATGTTTTAATTTTAAAATGAACCCAAAAATCAAACCCTTAATTATTGACACTCAATTAGAAAACGCCCTGTATATATGATCCAAATATACACAAAACAAATGGACACTTGGAGAATTACAATACACGAACTATAACATAAACTTTATTTTAATTTTGAGTTTGGTGGCAACTTTCTGAGATTCAAGGAGACCCGCATATACAGAATCGATTACGTCTGCTATTTTATTTCCAGCATGTTGCAAACGTGGTTTTATTGATAACCTCCAATATCCTCGGTCTTACGTCCTACCTTCTGGAGGACAAACAGCAGAGGCGTGCTTTCTTGGAAACGAGACAATCCTTAGAAGTTAAGCTCGTCATTGAAGAACAAAGTGCCGAACAAGTAAGTGGATGATTGAAATTCCAAATTACTGTAGTTATTTAAATTGGTTTCGCTAACCGCCGCCGCCCCGACTAATTATCCCCTCTTTAAGGATAATACCTAGATATACATAATCAGAAGCCGACGCCGACCGGTTGAAGGGATTAATTAAAATTAACTTTGATCACCTTTTACTAACTTTAATTGATTTTAAACGTCCTCCGGTTTAACGTGTTTATCTTCTTAAATCCGCCAAAAGCTTTGCGTAAAATGGGCTTTCCATTGAAATTTTCATCAAATATGATCCAGGCGATTGGTTTAAATTGCTGGGGGCACCTTTAAAATTAATCACAAAACTCTCGAACCTACATTACTTTCTGTTAAACTTTATATTTTGGAGGATACGGATGAATTTTTCGAGATATCGTATCTTCCCACGCGTGTATGAATTTGACCCTAATTTCCGAACAAAAGGTATTTTTAGGATCCCTTCAGCAACTTTTTGGGCAAGAGGTTTGAAGCGAAAAAGTAATGTTGGCATAAATTTATTGTCCTTCGATATACAATAGCCACGGGATTGCCATGTTTTTGTTGTTTGATTGGGGTTCCCTTGAAAGCTGGAATTTTTTTATGGTAACACAAATAGTTATTCTGCGTGTTTTTGAAGTGACTAAACTTGGGGTATTGTATAGTGCTGTCTTCTAAATGATGTCAGAATATTTAAGAACCTGATTACTACACCTAAACGATTTAAAGAAATTAAATGAAATAAATAATTAAAGATAAAATAACTGATAAAAATTAATTGAATCAACAACACAGTGATTTTGATGTTCGATATTGATGTTGATTTTTGGGGGCTCTTCTTCCAAAAGACACTATATTTTTGCTCTATCACGTCATCTTTTTTATAGCACTCTATATCTTAAAAATGTTATTCCATTAATATACATACCTATGACATGAATATGCTTGTTCCATGTTAGGCATGATATATCTAAATTAATTGATTTTTATGAAATTAAATGTGATTTGGCAACACTGGGTAATATTAGATTTTTCTGCAGTTGGCGCAGAAGCGTCAATTCGGCGTTGTGACCTGCTTATGCGCAGTTTCGTTGTATTAGTTGTCGTGCTACTGTTGTTGGGTATTTCCAGTGGTTCTAGAACATATAAATATCAAAATAAGACGTTGTGTGAACAATCCAAATAACTTTTGTTATATCTGTGGTAGTTATGTTGTAGTAAAACAAAGGCAAACTATAAGTCCTTTGATGAAAAATGTATACGACGCTTATTTTGGAGTAAAAATTGGCGGCCAACACAAGTCCTGGGCTCCTCATACTGTTCGTTTTTTTTGCGTTGAATCATTAAGAAACTGACAAGAAGATAGAAAGGTAGGTTTAAGCTTTGGTATTCCTATGTTATGGCGTGAGCCTAGGAATCACAGTGATGATTGTTATTTTTGTTCGTGTAATATTTAATGATTCAACAGAAAAAATAAGAAAAAATAGTGTGACTCTGCTATTAGGTCAGTTCCTCGTGCACCAGATATACCAACACCTACCACCCCAAAGGAACTAGAAAATGTCATATCGTCAGAACCAGAGGAATCTAATTCCCGCCTAGATGACTCACACTTCACAACAGATTTCAGAAAATTTAACCAAAGCGAATTAAATGATTTAATTAGAGATTTGCACCTTCCAAATAATGCATCCGAATTGTTAGCGTCTAGACTTCGTGACAAGCAAGCAAAAGAGTTATGTCAATATTTTACTCAGTAAGGACCGTTAATGTATTGCATCATTATTCCTGACTTACAAAATTAGGAAATGTGCTGTACATCTTGACTCAAGTAAGCGTGTAGTTTAAAAGGCGTTGTATGACACAATGGTAACGAACTAGTCCCGGTTCTCATTACACATTCGGTACATTTAAAAGAAACGTATGAAAATTTAGGACTTCTTTCGAAGAAAATAAACTACCAAGAACATGAGTGGATTGTGGTGACCTTAAAGTGCTTTGCATGCTCCTAGGACAACAGGGGGATTATACAAAATTTCCATGCTTTATTTGTGATTGGGATAGTTGGGCAAGAGATAGACATTCGACTCAACAATAAATGCCCTCTAGAACAAACCCTACACCTGGTAGCAAAAATGTATTAAGAGATAGCTTAGTTGACCCCAAAAAAGTTTTACTGGCTTGATGAGGCAGTTTGTTAAAACCCTAGACAAAAATGGGCAGTGTTTCAAATATTTGTGCAAGAAATTTCAACCATATCTGACACCAAGATAAAAAAAGATATTTTTGGTTGGGTCGCAGATAAGAACATTATGCAAATGCTAGGATTTTCAAAAAACACTGACCAATGTCGAGAAAAACGCCTAGGTTTCATTTAAAGAAGTAATTGATTAGTTTCTTGGGAACTCTAAGGACGAAAACTACGAAAGTGCTGTTCAAAATATGTTACAACACTGTCATTGTCTGGGTTTGGAAGTTCAGTTAGTGAAGAACAGGGATAGAGGCTTCACCAGAACATTTAAGGAAATGGAACGGCCATATCAAGGCAGATAAAAACACACAGCCGGAAAACGCAGACGTGATTTCGCTTAGAAAAGTCTGAGTAAAGTTTTTTATTTTGAAATTTCGCTATTATTTTCGTTTAATATCTGCAAAAAAACCTTACGTGATACAAATAGATGCATTGAATTTTTGAAATCAGCCTACCTAAATTATATAAAATCAGTTCTGCCAAAAAGTTTAATTTTGTATACCTGTGTAAACATAAAGAAAGTCGAAGAAATATGCACATCTGAAATGAAGGATCTGTTTGTTGAGCCATTGAAAACAAAGTATTAATTTTAAACAGTACGAGAGAGTCGGAAAGAAGTTTTATTCGATGCAATTTTAATAAAGACAAACTTCCTAAAAAACGGAAACAAACATTTTGAGTGAGAATGCAAATGTACAAGTTAATTAATGTTAATTTGCTCATTGTTTGACATTTTTCTAGGAACGGTTGTTGCTGTCTGTCCTGCCGGAACACGTTGCGGTCCAAATGAGGCAGGACCTCGACCAAGCCGACAGTCAGTTTAAGAAAATTTACATGAGTCGGCATGAAAATGTCAGGTAAATTTGCAACTAGAATTTTTCCGGGATGCCGCATTTACATAGAACACTGGCTTGATTATTTTAGTGACCAAATTGCCTGGAACAGAAAGAAATAACCATTTTATTTCATAATTTTCGCGAGTGACATTCAGCCTAAAACTCAAATTCAAACTAAAACTCCATAAAGTGCTTTTCAACACAAACTTTTCAAACTTACAGTTAATTGATCGATGCTTCTTTCTGTCGATAACTTTTAAGGTCGCGTTTCCAATACTAGAAAGTGTCCTCAACGACCTAGATCTGGATAAAATATGTCAATAAAAAAACTAGTGTCAATTGCAAATCTATGAATAAAATTGTGATATTTTGAGGGGCAATATAAAATTTAAAAAAATTAAGTCATAAAATCTTGGCGTTGTCGAAAAATTTCAGAAGCTCGTTCGAGTGTTCGGTGAATAATTCATGTTCCCTATTTGACGATGCAATGAATGAATGGAAGATTTTTTGTTCTAGCATTCTGTATGCCGACATCGTGGGGTTTACCGCCATCTCGTCCACCTATTCCGCACAAGAGCTCGTGAAAATGCTGAATGAATTATTTGCACGCTTCGACAAGCTCGCAGAGGTAATAAAGGTTTGGTAGTTTGTTATATAAATGATCCAATATTAGTCGCGTTATTTATGAAGTGTTGGATATTTCATTGCGGATTCTCCGATATTCAGTTTACGTGGTGAATTAGTTCGCAGCAGGGTGATGATAGATCGTTTTGCGAAGCTGTCCGTAGCACAGTAGTAGTTTAAATAATTAAGCTAACTTTTCAAATCAAATAATATCATCTGTAAACACTGCTTATGAAGGGAGATTCGGCATCGACAGAAATACGAAAATCTGTAACTAGTTAGTTAAAATTATAAATAATATGCTTAAAATGTGGACAAAAGAGTAAATTAAGCCACTTCGGTTTGGGAGCAATCGGATGTCTTCGGAGATTTTACTGCACGACTTGAATTTTGACGTTTGACAGTTCTGGCAAGTGTAAATAAAAATATACCCAAACACCAACGGTCGTAGAAAAAGTATAGTGTGCAACACGTTTGGGAATGGCATATTATGCAACAAGTAAACGGATCCATGGGAAGCACACTTGGTAAAGTAACGCTTTCCGCACGCTTGATCGGTGTATCATTAGATATTTTACAAGTCATTATCGCTCCTCTCGTGCCAAATAAACTCGTGACCCAAATGTGTGGTAAACTTGTTGCATAATGTACTATTACAAGTGCATAACAGAGCCGATAACAACATATGGTGCCAAAACTTTTAAATTAATTCAAAAGGGATAACAAAAATAAATGGACTTTTTTAGAAGTTCAAGTAGGGGTTAAAGAATGGAACATATAGCATATAACAATGACGACAAATAAATGACACGACAAAGATTGAATTAAAGGTCAGGCGCATGAGACGAGAAAGGTTACTATGCCTAGCTGCGGAATATTATCAACTGAACAGAAAAAAAAGAAGAATACCAGCACATACATGTGGGGATTGAGGAAGCTATGATAAGGAAAGGCCCAAGAAAAAACAATTGGCATGACAAAAACTTACGGCGAATCAAATATTTTGTGACCTTGCCCTTTTTTATAAATTAATTTACTTTGCTTTAATTTTAAAACATCATGTAACTTCACCAAGTTCAAATATTCAAGCATTTTAGTATCAACCCTCATACCAAAATTAATCAGAGTTTTCATAATTTCAGCAACCGTAGTTTTGAAATCCTTTGTACCTTTTCAATTTTCAGTATACCTTTTATTTGATTGATGCTTGCAGAACAGGCAAAAGAGGTTGGTTGCGCATCAAATTGGAATCGTTTTTTATTATCTAAATATACTCACGGCCAGTCTAAAAGCAATTTCGAGTGTGCCAGATTTTAGAACCCGGCAGATTGACTTTCGTCTAGAATAATTGACAGAGCTTGGTTGCTACAATCCAATTACATATTTGATTTACCATTTTGCCGATAGGATTACTTTTTAGGGGTACTACCCCTAAAAAATAATCTCCCTATACATTGTAAGTCAATCGGCATGTTGGAAGAAGTAAGGTCTAAAAAAAATCATGAAACTATAACACCGCAATGTTTATAGGAAAAAAGAGTATTATATCAACCTGAAAAATATATGCTCTTATAAGTGAAGTTTGAAACACACCCTATTAAATTCTGTAGCTGGAGTCGGCTATTGCTTCATTCACAAATAAGCGTTAATAAATCAGAAGTGAAATTGTGTAAATCAATAATAACGAGACGGTCCTCTTTTTGATCCGTTTTCATTTTGTGTAAAAAGTAAAGATTATAGAATTTTCCCCTCAACGAAAAAAATAACATACCGATTCTAAACAGTTATTTTAGAGTTATTTTAACCGAACGGCTGCTAGTAGACATCAATATCATTTTAGTTTTATAGTTAGTTTTTTTTTTCAGAAATATCATCAGCTGCGGATAAAAATACTAGGCGACTGCTACTATTGCATCAGCGGTGCCCCAGTGGAGCGTCCCGACCACGCTGTCCTCTGCGTTCATATGGGTCTGTCGATGGTAAAAGCTATCAAGTAAGCAATCGATTTTATTTCATTTCGTTGGCCCGTTGCACTCTATAATAGTGCAAAAGCGATTAAATTCTTAATTGAATCGACACGTCTGATGTGTGGAAACGAGTGCGTCATTAAAGAGAACTGTAAAAACTCGCGTCGACATTGGCATTGCGACCAGTTAAAAACATTGCAAAGCTTTTGATAGTTGCGGAACAACCTAATATGACCGGTGATTTATTGCTGCCGATGAAGAGATTTTAATTTACGTCAACTGAAGAACTACTTCTAGAAATAACAACTTCAACAAACCAAAAAAGATTAAAGTTCGCTTCTTTAAATTGTTAACAAAAGTGCTTGAAATTTTGCCCACTTTTATCTATGTTTCATGGATTTTTAATCTCAATACCTTCATGTCTGTGTACTACATAGCAATTTCGTTATATACTCCCACAAAGCCTATGTTTATTGTTTGATATACATAAATTTCCAACATGTTCTGCTATGATGGCAATTTTTATTAGCGAACTAAATTATTTGAGAAATAATTTAAAGGATTCACGCAAAACTATTCTCAACAAGGTATAATACAGCAAATAAGGGTTTCCTTATTTTTTGTCATAAAGTTTCTTATATTTCGCAAACCGTTAAACTTAGATGTATAGTTGAAGTAGGATTAAAATATGAAGCAATAGGTATTTTTTAAAAAAAGTTAACTACTACATATCTTACAGTTTTTGCAATTAACTTTTTGTTGCACATTGTACATCTTCTACTATAAGGTTTGTAGAAAATCAAAGTATTTTATTTATGTGTATGTTTTAAAACGTAAAAAAAAAGCTTCTTTCAAAATTTTATCTTGTACGGTTGTGTGTAAAAATGGCGGTTATATTCGAATTGATATTAAATTTCCTCAAGTCGTGTTATTCCTCGTTTTATACTGATTGAAATTCAAATGTAGCGTCAGATGGGAAGCCGCCAACCAGACAGATCGTGAGTTGAAATTTGTGATATATTCAGTTTTTCAATATTGCCGCGGGAGATATTTTTAAATCGACGACGTATAATGCTTTTATTTTTTCTTAACGGTCTTAAAGCTAAAAAAAATGATGGACTCGTATTCCCCATGTAAAGTTAAATTTATGGTGCAATGAGTTAAGTAAAATGTTTTAATTTTCTTGAGTGCAATGGCCCGGAATCAAAATGAAATTCTCGTTGATACTTGAGACGGCTTCAAAAATTTAGCGCTTCCTCTAACGCCGTCTCCATTTTAATTAATTACTTCGAGTTCCGAACCAGCCATTTTTTTTATTGCGGCAGAAAATGCCTAACGCCGGAATAATATCGCATCGATGTACGCTTTGGTACTATCCACATGATTAAAAAAATATTTGCCAGAGTAATTAAATTGAACTTTCATTTTCACCCCTAGATTGTATGTAAAATATTTAGTAAGTATTAAAAATTTTGTTTAAAGAATTTCATTCATTTGCATATCCGCTCCTGGATATTGTTATATATTTTCAAAGACACTTGTCATAGGAATTATATTTTATTTCTTTATAAACATTAAGCACAAAAATATATAAGACAATTTCTCCATATCCAGGCAATAAAGTTTATAACATTAAAATTGAAATACTTCGAATAAATTGTGTTTACTTCATTATATAGAGTTTAGAAGCAAGCTCTTATATTTAACAAGAAAAGAAAAGTAATTTACAATTAAACAATAATTGTTTCTGCCACAGAAAGTTTACGATTTATTTGAATTATAAAAGGCAATTTTAATCCTTTATTTAGGTTTGGTTTCTCACAGAAAGGTTCGTATTTCGTGTAATTTAGTTAGGTTGTTTCAATTTTGTATAGACTTGGCTGGTTTAGCTTCTTTCATACCGAAATTGATTTTGAAATTGACAATTAATTGTAAATATTTTCCACAAGAATGAAATTTTGTTTGTATTAATACAAAAGAACAAATATTTATTAATGAAATTTCAGTGTTTTTTTGGCCCTTCCTTTGTTCGGGCGACAACAAGTTTTTCCATTGTTTTTGATGGGAGTCTTTTTATTTTCTGGATATTGCTCAAAATGTTTCATACCTCAAATGGCGACGCTTTCTAGTAGATTTCCCAGTGTGGGCACCGTCGTCTGCTTTATTGATTACTGTTCCAACGAAACCCTTCAATCATTTCAAAGTTAATTGGACAGCAGCCCAAGAGCTTCTTCCAATTACGGTTTTTTTTCTTCTTAGAGAAATTAAAATAATTTAACAATGCCCATACAGGAAAGTAAAATAATAATAGAATTGAAGAAAAAATTAATGATAATGGTAGAAAACTTATAGAAGTGTCGCAAACCAATGAATTAAAAATTACTAATGAGTTCATAAAGATATTCACCGTTACACCTGGGTGAAACCAACTCGGAATCTTAAATCTATTATTTTATTTACTATTTTGTTATCAGGCATAAAATTGGCATCCTGATAAATTATGTCAGATTCTTAAGAGGAGCTTTTTGTGGTGGTCCTGATCACTTTCTATTTAGGGCCCTAGTGTTCTTGTCTCCAAAATATCATAAACAAGATTGCTTTCAAAAAATCGTTGCTGGGCGGGGCAAGTTCGTCGCAAATCAGCTTTTTATTAAAAAAAAAAGGCGCTTCGCTTATTCTTGTCTTAGAGGGACGCATTGTTTTTCTATCGTGATCCTGCGGACCACTCTGGTACTTTCGCAAAATCGATGTTATTTTATTGTGAATACATCCCGCATAAAGTGTCCTTCATATCTCGTCGAACTTCAAAGTTACGCCAAACTTCAGTAAATATTAAAAATTGTACTGATAATTGCAATTTAAAATTATATTTTTTCAAATATCTCGCGCCCCCTGTATTATAGATGAAACTTTAAACTCTATCTTGACACAGTTTACGATACTGTTCATATCAATTATCACATCTTTAAAATTTTGTCCTTTATCGCCAATAATTCACCTATTCACCAGAAACCATGCAGTACTTGGTAATAGTAAATGACGTCATCGCGTCTAGATTGAGGGCGAGAAATGATGAATTTCATTTGGAATTTTTCAAAAATACAACAATTGTAGCCCTTGATACGGCCTACAACACTGTTTGAACGGATTAGCTATTGTTTGTATGAATTTTGAATTACGGTTAATAATTTACTCTCTAAAAAAACAATTTTCAGGGTCTTTTAGATTTTTGTCCATTACTAAAACACCTTGTGTATAATCGAAAAAATGCGTGAAACAAAAGTTATAGCGCCGGGTCTCCCACGTGTTACGGATGTAAAATTTTTCCCATCGGATGAATGGCTTTGGAGTAAAAAATGTTTTTTGGATATAACCACAAAAAAAATTCAAAAATTACAAAAAAAAATACTTCGCGTTATTTTATTGCTCCCAATTTAAAGAGTCTAAATGCGGGTCCAGACTTCTACCTCTCTCCCAAGTCTGAAGTGGGTAGCTACAAATTTGGAGTACTTATTATGTTTTTTAATATTACACGGAATATCGCGAACACCCTGCACAATACTTAAAAACCGTAAATAGAAAAGTTTAAGCTGTCTATATGGGCTATTTCGTCGTGTAAAAGAAACTGACATCTAAAACAAAGATTTGAAATTATTGCTAATTTTCAATAATCACCCTGCATATCTTTGAAAAATTGTCTAGAATAAAAGTTTATGGAGTTGTTTTGCTATGCGTCTTCTGGTTCAAGAATTTTTTCGATCTTGTAAACCGTTTTTGAAAAATGGTCTTTTTTGTAGACCCTCTGTCAGGGGGCAAAGCTGCGTATATGTGCCAAATATGAAGTCGATCGCTTCACATTTCCGACACTTATCGTGTTTCATAGCAAGGTCCAAAAAACAGTCGAAAATCATGAAAAAAAGATGGATACCGGCATCGGATCAGGGCCATTTCTTATAAGCTTATGTGCCTCGTGGAGGGTTAAAAAAGAAGAAAATTTCAATTTGTAAAAAAAAATTCAAACATTTTTAAAAAACACTTGGTAAAATTGGATTGCGCCCAATTTCTACCGTTTAAATGTGGACCACACGAAAAATATAATCTTAAGTACAAAATATCTATTCCAAAAAAGAATCGTCGAAAAGTTGTCTAAGAATTACCAAGAACTCACACATGAAGTTTATAACAACATAACAACCGAGTGACTGCCGGTATAAGCAGTCCCCCTTTTTGATGTTCAACAGCTTCGGGTGGAGGAGCTATCAAGAGGTAGGGCCATCTCTGGTCCATGGATTGAGAAATCGGTCCAAAAAGCGGATGAACCAACACGGTCAACGGCATGAGAATGCAGAAGGCAAGGGGAACCCACTGCATTAAAGATCATATCGATTCTCCCTAGTACAAATCATCATGGCTGAAAACAACAAACAAACGGCCCTCAGTCCCCGGCAGATCTTAAATGATCAGTGCGAAGAATCCCCGGGTCAGCTATGAGAATTGGTACATGGAATGTACGCAGTTTATAAGAACCTGGAAAAATACATAATGTTATCCAGGAGATGCAAAGGTTAGATCTAAGCATCCTAGGAATCAGTGACAGCCGAATTCTGGACAACAATCAATTAGTCAACGGCACCATTTATTACTCAGGAAGTGATGACACCCACCATAGATATGGAGTTGCGATCGTGGTATCCAGAGAAATCAATAAATCAGTAATAAACTTTACCCCTATATCAGACCGAGCCATGTTACTCCAACTTCAAACGTATCATTGCAAATTAAACATAATTCAAACATACGCCCCGACAGCAGATAAATCTGACGAAGACATTGAGGAATTCTACAACGAGATTAATAACATCATACAATCTCTAAAATCAAGGGACATAACACTAGTATTAGGGGACTTCAATGCCAAGATTGGCAGAGGTAGATTTGACAAACATGTGGGAGAATATGGACTTGGTAGGAGAAACGAAAGAGGTGATAGACTGCTGCAATTTTGCCAAGAAAACGATTTTATTATATCGAATACGTTCTTCAAACTTCCAAACCGCCGTTTGTACACCTGGAAATCTCCGCAAGACAACAAACAAAATATAGTGAGGAACCAAATTGACTACATCTTGATAGATATAGGAATGTAATCAAATCAGTTAAAACCTACCCAGGGGCAAATGTCTTATCGGACCATAATCCACTAATAGCCCGGTTTTTAATAACACTTAAAAAACAACGAGTAATACCAACAACAAATTGTATAGACGTATCGTAAAATGCATTAATTGAGCCGAGCAAGACCATTCTGACAAAACAGAAAATAGGGAAAAAACAGGAATGGATGAATCCAGAAATTTTGAATTTGATGAACGAACGACGTGGTGTAAAAGACAACAACCAAGCATATAAGAATATTCAGAAAGAAATCCGATCACAGATAAGAGAAGCCAAAGAGGCATTCTACAAAAGAAAATGCGACGAAATAGAAGCCCATCAAGAAAAGCACGACAGCTTCAATGTTCACAAGAAAGTAAAAGAACTGGCAGGGTTACAGAAAAAAAGACAACCGTCAATACTCACTGACCAGAATGGCAAAATTATTATGGAAATGGAAGAAAAACTAAGGACATGGAAGAATTACATATCAGAATTATTCGATGATGAGAGAGTAACAGAACAAGAAAACAGTGGACCGGAAATAACTAAAGAAGAGGTCATCCATGCTATAAAAATCACAAAAGATGGAAAAGCTGCAGGGCCTGATGAGTTACCCTCTGAAATTCTCAAATTGATAGAAGAGGAAAACATACACAGTCTAACAGATCTGTTCTACACCATATACAAAACAGGTATTATACCCAGGGAATGGTTGCTATCAGCGTTCGTCACTATCCCAAAAAAACATAATGCAAAGCAATGCACAGACTTTCGAACAATCAGTCTAATGAGTCATATGCTAAAAATATTTCTGAAAGTGATACATCACAGGATATACAAAACATTAGAACAAGATATCAGCGAGACTCAATTGGGTTTCCGAGGTGGCTTAGGCACAAGAGAAGTAATATTTGCCTTGAACGTTCTCGCCCAACGATGTATGGATATGAATCAGGATCTTTATATATGTTTCATTGATTACAACAAAGCCTTCGATAGGGTCCGACACGAACAACTTATCCAGCTTCTGAAAGAGAAGAACTTAGACACCAGAGATATAAAAATTATTACGAATCTTTATTTTAATCAAAAAGCAGTGGTAAAAATAGAAGGGAATAACACCGAAGAAATAGAAATCCGTCGAGGCGTTAGGCAGGGGTGCGTGCTATCACCGATGTTATTTAACCTTTACTCAGAGGAAATAATGAAACGAGCATTGGACGATGAAACGAAAGGACTAAAAATTAACGGAGTGCCTATCAACAATATAAGATATGCGGATGATACGATCCCGATAGCTACCAACCTAAACGAATTACAGATTGCAGTAGACAAAGTTAATACATCGAGTGAAGAGTTCGGACTGTCACTAAACGTAAAAAAGACTAAATTTATGATAATATCAAAAACAGCACAAAACAATTCACAAATTCATATAAATAACCACTCCATAGAAAAAGTTGACAGTTATAAATACTTAGGTACAATTGTAAATAAAAATAACGACTGCTCTGAAGAAATCAAAACTAGAATAGGACAGGCGGGAACAACATTTGTGAAAATGAAAAGAGTGCTCTGTGGCAGCAATCTCAGCTTGGATTTAAATATCAGAATGGTGCGATGCTATGTTTTGTCGGTACTGCACTATGGTGTAGAGGCTTGGACTCTGAAGAAACTGGACATAAGGAAACTGGAGGCGTTCGAAATGTGGTTGTACCGTAGAATACTTAAGGTAAAATGGACCGATAAAGTGACCAACATGGAAATCCTGAAAAGAATAAAAAAGGAAAAAGAAATTATCATTACGGTAAAAAAGCGTAAACTTCAGTACCTTGGACACGTCATGAGAGGAGAAAAGTACCAACTACTCCAACTGATATAACAATGAAAAATTCAAGGAAAGAGTCGGCTGTGTCACGAATACGAATAGCACAGATTATTGTCAACCTTCGCAACGAAGACGGCAAAGAAGAAGAATCACGGAACACAGAAAAATTGAGAAAATATAATTATTAGTAAAGGATAAAAAGGCGTCCTATCGGAAGTGGCTGAATACAAAAAAGAGAAAGATTTGTCCCATTACAGGGAAGCAAAGAGAAAGGTGAGGAAATTGATACAAAGGAGAAGGATGAGCTCTGGGACCGACAGTGCCAGGAAATTAACATATATTGAAGGAAGGAAAAACACGGAAGCTTGGAAATTTATTAAAAGTGTAAGAACATCAGACAAGGAAAATACGCATATGCAACTCATCGAAACCAATAAATAGATTGATTACTACAAAGGATTACTGACAGAAGATACACATAAGATATTGAAATACATGGTGGACAAGTTGAAATCACTATAGAAATGACCAAATCCACAATAAAGAGTCTAAAAAATGGAAAAACACCAGGTCTTGAAGGCATTTGCAGTGAGCTGCTCAAAAATGGAAGCGAAACATTATATGCTATGCTAACTTATATTTCCAACTTGTGCATTATTGGAAATCCAGTTCCAGAAGCATGGAAAACAGCTTATATCACCCCAATTTACAAAAAAGGTAATAAGATGCATTGTGAGAATTACAGAGGACTGTCAGTGACTAGTGCGATGAGTAGGACGACTATTACGAAACTTGATGCAGTCAGAAAGTAATGAACAACAATAATAAGAACAAAGTGAGTTCTTTGCTCTTGTAACGACAACTTATTCTGCCACAAACAGAGATACATATATAACATTTGTTGATCTTCAAAGAGCTTACGATACAATATACAATACCGACAACAAGACTTTTGAAAATCCTAAACTACAAAAACATCAATCATACACTCATTACTGCACTGCAAGATTTGTATAATGGAACATCAAGAGTGAAGTTAAGGAAATATGTCACCAAGGAATTCCCAGTAAATAAAGGCCTCATGCTGTATATCTCCAACACTGTTTAACATCTATGTGGCTGCAGCGCTAAAGCAGGAGAATACACGGAATGGGGATTGGATGTAATTATAATAATTTTTTATACCCCTTGCAGTTTGCAGAAGATCAAGCTGTAATATCAAATGATAAAGAGGATGTGGAGTAAACTGATCGAAGAATATAGCAAATGAGGCCTTGCAGAAAAAACCAAATATCTATATGTTGGTGAAGAACCTGGTGATCTACAACTAAACGACACATTGCACATTAAACATTGCCAAGAGTAGAAATATCTTGGAGTTAGTTTTGATACAACAGGAAAAATATAAAAAAGGGTAGAAGCTGTTGAGATGGTTGCAATACGTAGGTCAATAAGGATTTATTGAAGAGACAGAGTCAAAAAAATGATGTGCATCGAAGGAACCGTTGTAGATGATATTGAAAGGAAAAAAATAATTTGGTATGGACACGTGCATCGGATGCCACATATAAGACTTCCCAAACAAGCAATGGAATGGCAACCAAAAGAAAACCGAAAAAAAAAGGAAGGCCACAAACCTATTGGCAACAAGGCGTAATAAAAGCGATGAGCGCAAGAAAGCTGCAAGATGTCGATTGGGAAGCTCGAAACAGATGAAGGCAAGACGTCGGACAACTTCAAAAGACGTTCTAAACCGATTACATACATGACATATATATTCTTCAAGATGAGAGCGTCGCGTATTTATGCCTTTTTGAATTGACTTTCTATTGAAAGTTGTAGTGAACGGAATGGTATTAGAAAATTTTAGAAATTGGAAAAAACGAATAAAATAAATCTATTCTCACTGACTCATTTGACTTACACTCTCGTTGTTTTTGACAGATATGTACAACAAACTGCGAATTCACCGGTAGACATGAGGGTGGGAATACATACGGGGGCGGTTCTGGCTGGCGTATTGGGGCAGAGACAGTGGCAATTTGACGTTTATTCGAAAGACGTCGAACTGGCCAACAAAATGGAGAGCAGCGGTCTAGCGGGGTAAGTTAACAGTTTGCCCTCCGGTAGTGCATTGTAACCTTCGTATTGGTGCTATTTGTGAGGAAGGGTTTAGTCAGACATATATGGGGACGATAGAGCACATCAAAACTAGAACAAAATATATTTGAAGAATATTTCTTAAGATCTTTATTTCTTTGTAATATCACCAGTCTCTATTGATTTTATAAAAGTAGTTCATCAAATCAATACCAAATTGCACCACCGTCATAAATTTTGTCAAATATCTAGACCATGACTAAATGTCTGCAAAATTAGATAAATGTTATGTAGCTGTTGCTCAATTAAACGTTTCAGTACAAAATGAAATGTACATAAGCAGCCCGTCCGATTAGTTAAGAGAAGTTTGCGAGAGTTGAAAATAGCGAACTAACTTTCATTCGACCAAAATGAAGCGGATTCGGATTTGAATTTAGACTAGTTTTTGTTGTTACCTTCGCTGGGGTATTTATTTATTTTGTCGGCGAAAAGGCGAATAAATTACGGTGTCGGGCAAAGCATCCTTTATAGTCTGAAACCTAAATAAAACAAAACCTCTTCCGGTAGTTTGTACTTTGTAAACTTAGTTAGCCTTTGATCTTTCGCCAGCTAAAATCTAAAAGCTCCTTTACAAAATTTGTATTATGTATGCTACAGATATGGAATTACCTTTCCTATTCTCAGGTAGTCGATAAATTGAGAAAATTTAGGTTTACTACTACTCCTGAATGTTTGATGGAAAAATTGAAAACGCAAAGACATAAATGCGGAGCCATATAAGATAAATGGTAGGGTTGTTTATATTATTCATCAATAGTATTGCGCGATATGCAAAAACCTACAAAATTATTCCAAGCAATTTTGCTCAGCCTTCGTCCAAAACATGAATAAAAAAAATCAACGTAAAAATGCATTTCTTCGAAAGGGTTTCATTTATTAATTTATATTTATTCGAATACATTTATTTATTGCAACTCGACAGTTGGTATATAAAGTATGTAAAGGAAGTGTATGTGATAATTATTAATAATAACTTCAACGGTTTTTGTCATACTTGGACAATTTTAATACAACAGGAGGACGTAATTATTTTAGATTTTTAACCAACACATTAGTTTTTTTATTCAAAAGACTACCTGTCACAACACGCATCAAAATAAAAATTAAATATAAAAAATTTATCTGCTTTCTTTGCATAAATTTTTATTTCTTTTAAAAATGTCTCTCTTCATTCAAATCTCTTCTCCTTCGATTGCAAAGTGCTTTTTAGTCGAAACTTTTTTAAAGAATATGATATCCAATTCTTTGCCAATAATGACCGAAATTTGTCAACATTGAAAGAATTTACGCTATTTTTGATCAATGTTAATTGTATATTTAACCGACAGTTGTGGACGAGCCATTAATATTTTTAGTTAGAGTAAACAAAGTGCGAACTAGATTGGCTTTAGCCACTTGCGTTTTAGAAGTGGCGCAACCAGCGGTTTTATTTTGTTAATTTTTCAGGCGAGTTCATATTTCTGCCACAACATTGTCGTTCCTGAGCGGGGAATTTGAAGTGGAACCCGCGTACGGCGAAAAAAGGGACGAAGCACTGAGGATAGCCGGCCTAAAAACGTATTTCATTGTGAGAGTTTTGAAGCCGGTGAGCAAATGCTTTTTACTTTTTATTTTCATTGTTTACGATTTAATGGGGCGCTTATTATTGCAGTCGGAATGGTTGGGTTTAACAACCACCTATCAAAAACATTTCATAATTTGCTGTGGCGGTTGTGTTCACGATAGATACCGGACAAGCACTCTATTTTATAAATGCATTAAATATAAATTGCAATGTAGTTTCGCTTTTTTTTAAATACACAATAATTTATCATTTAATATACTATAACCTATCATAATATAATTTCCTTAGTATTTAACAAATTTTAAAATAAATTGGAAAATAGTGTAGTGTAAAAGAAAATAGGCCTACAAAGACTATACGAATATTTTAAGACACAATAGTAATATCCTTATACGAGTATATTTTGCAACATTGCCGACATTCTAATTTGGCAATTACTAAATATTTTCCAACAAATTTTATTTTTAAGTTATGAAATTGAGGATTTTACTAATAAACAAACTAAATCCTCAAATAAATATTTTTTCAATTTAATTTTAAACAAAAATACACAGACACAAACTCCAATTTCTTATACAAATTCCAATTCGCGAACAAATTGCAATTTCCAAAAAAAAAACGATTTGTCTTCCATGTTTTCCATTAAAAAATATTAAGTTAACAAGCTGTAGCTGTAGCAAACTTGGTTACCAAAACAACTGCTAACCCCCACAATAAAAAAACTGATACGCAAAAGGTGAAAAATGGTATTTTTGGAGTGTAGATACAGTTTCAATTTTATCATATGTGAAATTTCATCCATCATCAAAAATTTGAATTCAGAATAATGGTAATCTGAAAAAGTATTGAAAATTGGACAATGTACAATTATTCGCTATTATAGCGACCGGGTACAGTTTCAAATTTCATTGATTTACTATCGAAAATCATGTTTATGCTAGGTAGGGTATAGTGTCCAGAGCATTATCAAGTAGTAATAAAATTGGATTATGGAACCTAGAGTTAGTGCATCCCAAAATGATCATAAAAACTTGTGTGTTCGTATTTCTATTTAATATTTTGTAAAAAGTGAGGTTAGAGTTGACTTGGTGGTGTACTAGGTCTAAAACCGATTCGTTTTGTCGCCAGCATTTGGAATAAATTCTCTGAGAGTTAGATTGACAATATTTTGCCACTCCCTTGCCATTTCGTGCTGACTGTACTTATCTCCGTATGAAAATGAGTGCAGGCAACTCCTAATGTGTGGAAAAGGCCCGTTTTCCACTCTGTTGGTAAAGATAGGTCCCGTAAAATGTCGTGTCTGCTTCGTAAATTAATTCAGACGTACATAACATCCAGCCTAAGGTCATTTGTATGCAAATAAACGTGACTTATAAGAGACAATAACCCTTTGAGGGTAAAATCGTACGATAGACAAGCACAGCAAATTTCTATACAATCTTGGCAAATACGGTTCGCGGAGTTTTAGGAAAAATTCAAACTAATTAACGTTTATATAAACATGCGATTGTTCTACGCAATTTTTGAGCTAACGATTTTTATCCCCTCGAGTTTCATTTAATTGTGTATCGGGGAAAATGAAGGTTGTTAACAACTTTCCAAGTGAAGTTTAACGAGGACCACGACGAAGAGGCGGCGCGGAAGTTTTCTAATTATTTTTTGTGAGGTTATTTTCGATCCGGAATATTTGCATTTCGAAGAAACAAAGGAACGAAACGTTCGTTTAAGAGTGTTAAGAGCATTTCTCATTACCGTTTTATACAGATTTTTAGTGGGTCATAAACTAGAACGAGGCAACTTAATACGTCGTCAATATCGCCTGTATTTTCTCATCTAATCAAGATAATAAATGAACACTGAGTTTGCTTATATTTATATCTCAGCTTAAAGTAAAAACAAAGTCCATATATAAACGTGTGTTTTTTTTGTATATTTTTTCAATTTATTTTATACATTTTTTAAAAAATTTCTAAAATTTTTTAAATACAAAAAACGAAGTTTTTAAGGTTCTGCGCAAAATTAGCAGTGATTTTCGGTCTCTTCTAGTGCATTTTCCAAATAAAACAGTTGTTCGTACGTTACTCACATTGGCCACTAGACTCTAAACTTTACGAGTTTTCAAAACGCATGGTGTTTCAGATTAAATTGAATTTGCCAATTATTTTTGAAATCTCAGCCTGCGAAATTCGAAAATAGATCAACTAGCACCACCATTTTTCAAATTACTGAAATAATTGTCGAACAATTTGAAAAACAAAACTTAGCCATAGGTTGATTGTTAGACTTGAGTAAGCGTTCAACTGGATAAAAACATGCCTTTCCAATAGAAAGCAGGATTTCATTGTCTAAATTGAAAGCAAAGCTATTAAATACTAGGAATACCACAGGGTAATAACTAGGACGAATTTTAATCATTTTTTATTTGAACTACTGACCAATGGAAGTAGATAATTTCTTGATTACAAACTTTGCGGATGACGCGAATAAAATAAAACCAAAAATGTATTTGGCGATATAAATTTGGAGAATAGTCAACGCAAACAAATAAATAGCAATAGAACGAATATGTTTTCATTTAGAACAAAACAAAGGGAACTCAGCCTAATTCTTGATTGATTGATTTGTGATGACTTTATAGAAAATACAAATTTATGTTCCAAAATTATCGACAAAATATATTTTTTTAAGAATTCAGGTTTCGTTTTCCTGATTTTGATTTATGTGTCTCGGCAGCCTATCACTGTAATGCTTTAATATTATTGTACTAAGAATTAAGTCGATATATATGCTTCGTGGACTGTCAACAAAGTTTACACTTTAATTCCGCTAATTAAAAATTGCTCACACCTTATTCATATCCAGTTCTTTATTGCACGGTTTTCATCCATGTAAATGAATAAATTGATTTTACTTGAGCAATTCGCATAAGAAATCGAATTGCTGATGAAAAGTTCAAGCAACGATTCGAAAACACATCGGTTCCAATATCACGGAGTTTTATCTTCTCGACAATGGTTGCTAGGCGACATTTTATTCAATCCAATAAAGCCGCACAGTAGTGAAGTTTCGCTTTACGGTTAAACGGAGAAGACCTGCTAGTCGAAATTGATTTCTATTCGGTCTTTATCCTCGTTCCGAATTGTAAATCACGTCTGTCTCCGGTGGTCACAGACGGTCCTAATTTAAATTGATTTTCGTCCCTTCATGATTTTCGCGGTTTAGTGTACGATAGAAATCGGGTTCACCTACAAAGGACTTCACTTTGTATTATTACTCACGTAGGGTGCCTAGCACAGGATCGGCAATTACGATTTAAATTTGATTTTTCCACAGTACATGTGAAACATTTTTTTTATTTTATTTACAATTAAAAATTGAAATAATTGAAAAAAATTGAAAATTGTTCGCGTTAACCCATGCGACGGTGAAATTAAATGTCGCTGAAGTTAGGTTTGGATTCGGATATGCAAATATTACAGTGGACCAGTTCGTCACTTATCCAAATTAAAAAAAATATTCCTGTGGACATGCTGGGTAAGTAAGCACGGAAATATTGCAGGGGAACCCCCAAAAACCATATCCAATGTTGCTATAAAGTAAATAACCCCTTTACCGCTCGCATCACCCGATATTGAATTACGAGCCACTTAGGAAATAAAACTACCCCCAATAATGAAATACCCAAAAGTTTGTTATATTTATTTTGCAATCGCAAAAAAAATCTGACGTTGTTCCAGATATTGCATTAGATCATTAAAGGGCCACTTAGAAATGCTTCAAAATGATGTATTGCTCAACCACTTTGAAACGGTCGGGAAGATATAAGACTACCAGCAATAATAAGATGCCCTAAAATTCGTTTTATTTATTTCGGAATCTCAAAAAAAATTCACGTCCCAGATATTCAATTAGATCACTAAAGAGCCATTTGGGAGACCCTCAAAATGACGTATTACTCAACTACGTTTAAATCGTCGGGAGGATATAAAACTAACCCAATTAATGACATACCCTAAAATTCGTTTCATTTATTGCAGAATACCAAAAAAAAAAAAATACTTTTTCCCAGATATTAAATTAGCCCGTTAAAGGCCGACTTAGCTGAACTTCAAAATGCTCAATCACGGTGGGCAACCTATAAAACTACCACTATAATGAGAAACAATTCTGAAATTCAGAAAATTTACCCGCAAAGGAGACTCTCATTTTATTTGTAACGGGATGTTCCATTTAAGGAACAAACAATTTGAATCGTTTCCGGTTTAGGAGGAATAGTTATCATGCTAGTTGTACATTTTTTTCAAAATATTCAAAAACAAAAAGAGACAGGCATATACACCTTTTGAAAATTAACTTAAAATTAACCATAGCAATAAAACATGATACAAATATAGAGGGTGTACAACTTAACATTTTAAATATTAATTGGGTAATGGGGGGTAGTTTTATATATTCCCGACGATTTCAAGGTGGTTCAGAAATACATAATTTTCAAGCTCTCCTAAGTGGCTTCTCAATGGTCTGCTTGAATATCTAGGACAAAGTTAGATTTTTTTGAGATTGCGTAATAGTAATGAAATTGCTTTTTACAAAACTTCTGGATTCCACCTGCGTCGGTTTTTGCTTAGTCGAAGTTGCTGAAGTTTCGCCAATCATCCTGGTGGCTTCTTCAGAGCTTGACTGAAACTGGCTCATATTTTACTCTGTACCTGCTTATATATTGTTTGAGGGCCGCGCTAATGAGTGGTATAAACACCGTCTCGAATGACTGATTCCCAAATTGGTGACAGGTAGAGACCTGAGTCGCGATTAAGATTGTTAGGTTGTTTATAGATTTCTATTGACTCTCGGATTTTTTGTTGGTAGAAGAACTGATTACATGCAAGAATTTTAGTTATATCAAATAAAATTTTATGCCCGGTTTCATGACTGTGTTCGGCAACAGCTGATGAGTTTGTTTGTCTTAGTCGTAAGACTCTTTCGCGTTCTTTGAGTCTAGTTGATATTTTTCGTCCGGTCTCTTCAATGTATTCTTTGCCGCATATGCATTTATGCATTTTGTCTTTGACGGACCGCAGATGTTGAGAGATTTTTGGACAAGTGGTAAATCTGGATTTGACGTTATACTTCTCTAGAACTTTTGATATGTGGTCAGTGGCAAGTGTAGGATTGGTTTCGGCCTCATTTCTATTGGAAGGTTGTGGTGAAGTGTATTTTATGATGGAACGTTTAATATCTTTGATGTGGAAATTATTAGAGAGAAGAGCAGAGGTAAGACGTTTTAATTCTGTTAGTGACTCGGGCTGAGATAGTTTTACGACTCTCTAAATAAAAGAGTTGATAACCGATGATTTTTGGGCCAGATGGTGATGTGAGCATGCATTAAGGTATCGGTCTGTGTGAGCAGGTTTTCTGTAAACACAATGACCCAATTTTAGGTCTGATTTTCTATTGATAAGAATATCTAAAAATGGCAGGTTATAAGTATATTAATATATCTGAAATGATGTCGAAGATTTCAGGAATAGGAGAGGGATTCTACTTCGAAACTAACTAGAATATCGTGTTTATCTAATGTAATGCTTTTTAATTGTTCAATGAAGTGAAAGGAATTAAGTACGAAGCTGTCAGTTTTCCCTGTAAGGAATTTTAATAAGGAAGCTATATATTTTGCTTGAGAATATGTTGGAGAACCAATGGTGCTGACAATAGGTCGAAGGGGTAATCCTGGTTTGTGAATCTTTGGAAGTCCGTAAAGACGAGGAATTTTAAAGTCGTGAGGGGTAACAGATGTTTTTACAGAGTCTGATAGTCAGTCAATAAAGTAGTAGAGTAGTAGAGTCAATAGAAATCTATAAACAACCCAACAATCTTAATCGCGAATCGGTCTCTACCTGTCTCCAATTTTGGAATCAGTCATCCGAGACGGTGTTTATACCCCTCATTAGCGTCCCTCCACCCCTCAAACAATATATAAGCAGGTACAGAGTAAAGTACGAGCCAGTTTCAGTCAAGCTCTGAAGAAGCCACCAGGGTGATTAGTGAAAAACCAGCAATTTCGACTAAACAAAAACCGACGCAGGAGGAATCCAGAAGTTTTGTAAAAAGTATTACAGTAGCCTGTGGAAGTTTCTTTGAAAAATAAGTAATGAAATTAATTTATTTTTGGAGTGAGGCGACTGGAAAAAGGGTTATTTTCTGAACGACAGTACCTGTAACTAGACCCCTTCGGTACATTAACCCCACACCTGACACTAGCTATTACCTCTTTAAATTGACTAAATTTTTTAGGGTGCTTCCAATGCGACTGTGAAATTAATACAGGCACTCCGCATAACTTTAACTATTTACACACTGCTATTCGTTATACTCCCACTAATACTTGATATAAGGTCTCTAATTGTTGAACTAACTCCCAAGCTGCGTTTTTTAAAAAACGTTTTTCATAAAATACAGCCCCTGCTCGGGACAGGGATGGAACTAGGCGTTTTTGATATCGTTCGGTCTTCTGTGTACGCAGCAGTTCTTGAAACATAAAACCTCGACTCGCTCGTCACAAACCGCGGCCCCTTATAGAACACCATGCCGAGCAGACCTTTAGCCGTAACCATTAAAGGACCGTCCTAGGAGTTTATTTGCCCACACTAATAAGCGGGATATGTTTTCAATCTTTTTTGCCGAGCAATTCTTGAAACATGTACATAAAAAAATTAATACAAAGTAACAATTTATTACGTTCTCGTTCATCACTTTTCTACATAGTATCATTATTAATATACAATATACAGTACTTTTTTATGCAGTTCTAGGTTAAAACACAATTTCTGCGTGTTTCTCTTTAAAAACTTGTGAAATACCAGCATGTTTTCTCACTTTCCTCTTGACAATTCCATTTGCAACAATTTTTCTGAATTTCTTTGGCAATTTGTTTGGCATCCGAAGCCAAATTGATCCGTTTTTTTATTTGCTGAAGTAGTTCGTCTTCTAAATTGTGGTTAGGCTCGACTACCATCTCCACTTCGTCTTCAAATTCTGCGTTGTTTTCCATGTCTTCTTTTAACAGAGGAACATCTGCTTCATTCCACGGTCTCCACATTTCAAAGTGTTAAATAACGTTTAATTGTAAGATTCTAATAAATATTTATCTGCATTCTTATGATGCACCTTTATCTACCGCGAGTATAATCTAATCTCAAAAAAGAATGTTGTTGTTTACAAATCAAAGAACTATGTAGAAGACACCAAAATGCAAGAAGAAGTTGTTAATCGACAGGCGCACAAGACAAACATTATTATTTTGAAACTTACCTGTAAGATAAATAGAGTATAGGTACTTGCCCTTAACATTTGAACTACAAAGTGAAAACAGCCTCGCAGGATCAAAGCTCGAGAAACAGGTACATAAATACCTACTTACTGAAAGGATCACATTCAAATACGAACATATTGCAATTTAGGTTAAACTCTTAGGATCTGATGTTAAATAAACGCTTCTACTTATTCGAAAATACTCCGCAGCATCAATGCTTAAGCAAATTTAAAACAGTCCATTTACGCTTAAAATAAAAATTTCAAGTTTCTACAAATATTCGTTACGGTTCTGTCAGGCAAAACCTACTTAATGCAGAATATACATCCGTTGGCATGGGTTTTAACACGGTCCTGCGATGGTCTGCTGTTAAGGTAATGTAAAATACTTAAAACGTCACAGCAATAAATGCACTATATTTTTGGTGATTGTAATTGCAGAATAGAAAATTGTCTTTTCCCTATACCATTTAACAAAATTAGTTTATTGCGAAAAAGTATGTTTTATCACTGTGAAATCATAAATTTTGATGGTTGATAGTGAATACGGATTTATTATTTTATTATTAAAAGCAATCATCCATCATTTCTATGACAATAGGTTCGGCTATGTAATTTAAAATTTAAACAAAAAGTAAATATGAAACTATTCTACTAAAGAAAAGTAAAATGGAAAAAACAAGTGCAACACATTTTTTGACATAAAATTTAAAATAATGTTGTGTTGGGTGTCTTAAACTTTTCATTTGTCTTTAATTTTTGGTGACAATTTTAATTGCATTATTGTTTTTTTATAAAAAAACGTTATAAACTTGCTTAAAAATATGTTATCAACTAGTATGTAAAAACATTACAAAAGCTATCAAAAAATAAACGATCTTTTTTTGTACCCTCAATAAACTTCCGTATCACAATATCCTCCATTTCAAAATAATTTTGCTTAATAAGCACTTACAAAACATTAGGTTGGTGGCTTTAAAAAAGTTATAATTGGCATACCCTTTCCAACAATCAATTTTATAATCAGCAACAATGGAAATCAATCTTAAAAAAGAGGAATATCTGCTAGAAAAATAAAAACTAAAACGAATATACCCAGAAAAGAGGCCTGGTTAATTTTTAAAAAAATATTAACTTATTTAATCTAACAATGTTTAGAAAATTTCTTACGAGTACTTCTGGATATGTCTTTAAAAAATGAGATTCTGGAAAAAAAAAAATCCTTTAAATGTGCTACTTTTTCAACTCCACTGAACGATAAGTATTATTGTTATCCAACATTACTCCGGAGTTTATTTTAAATTATGTAACATTGTTAGCACAACTGATTTTTCACATTTTCTTTCATTCTAGTTCTAAGTAGAAAGAAAACGATGGTGTAGTAGGTAAGCGAAAAAAAAAGACGAAAATTGTAGACAGTTGCATTAATATCTTCAGTAGCGTCTAAAAAATAACAAACAATTAGAGTACTTAAAAACTGAGGTTCGGGGCGATAAATACAAAATTGCAATATAAATATTTATTGCAGTTTGAACCCCAAATGGATGTTCAGAATGGCGATACGATTATTCCCGACGCCGATAGTTGTGTGATATCGGACCTTAAAGGGGACAAAGAGGACCAGGCAAATGTGAGTATACATTTTTGTGTCATTATAGTTAATGATCCCGTGAAATTGCCAATTATTGTTCAAACCCGAGTTTACAGTTGACGAGGAATGCCTCTCCATTTTTTTATTTTGGTAGGACCCTTCTGCCTTTCCCTAGGGTGATGCATAGCTTGAATATCTCGTTACTTCCTGTTTTTAGTCAAAGCAAATCTGTAATCTTACTCCGATCTGATTTAAATCGATCTTCGAGCGAACTCGATATTTTCCTGAAAATAAAAATGCGGCAATGTAAAGTTACCTCCGTTGTTGCGCGCTTCAATAATGAAGAATAAACCATTTTTATCGAGAATTTCCGTTTTTATTTGCAGAAATTTTATTCTTTATTACCCCTATCACACATACATAAAAATCAGCGTAATATTAGAACGTTTAAGTACGAAATCAGAAGGTTTTACTACCATGAGAAACACTTATATTTTGTGTGCATTTTACATATGTATACATTTTTTTGTGTGAAGGTAATAATGTAAATGTCCTATCGAACATGTTTGATCTATCGTAGCATATTTCAATAATCATTGTAATTTGCTAAGAATAATAACGACTATATATATATATATATATATATATATATATATATATATATATATATATATATATATATATATATATATATATATATATATATATATATATATATATATATATATATATATATATATATATATATATATATATATATATATATATATATATATATATATATATATATATATATATATATATATATATATATATATATATATATGATGACACTATATTCCGGGATATCATCCGTTCGCTCGTTGAACTCCGACTGGAATCCTGCATCCGACTGGAATCCTGCAAATCTTGCATCCGACTGGAATCCTGCAGACGTTTCGCCAAAATCTCACTTGGCATCTTCAATGCTCGCGCTCCGAAAACACTTCGAACACTCGGAGCGCGAGCATTGAAGATGCCAAGTGAGATTTTGGCGAAACGTCTGCAGGATTCCAGTCGGATGCAAGATTTGCAGGATTCCAGTCGGATGCAGGATTCCAGTCGGATGCAGGATTCCAGTCGGAGTTCAACGAGCGAACGGATGATATCCCGGAATATAGTGTCATCACATTTTTCCATCCGTGAATCAATACGTGAGAATATATATATATATATATATATATATATATTCTCACGTATTGATTCACGGATGGAAAAATGTGATGACACTATATTCCGGGATATCATCCGTTCGCTCGTTGAACTCCGACTGGAATCCTGCATCCGACTGGAATCCTGCAAATCTTGCATCCGACTGGAATCCTGCAGACGTTTCGCCAAAATCTCACTTGGCATCTTCAATGCTCGCGCTCCGAAAAAACAGTGTTCGAAGTGTTTTCGGAGCGCGAGCATTGAAGATGCCAAGTGAGATTTTGGCGAAACGTCTGCAGGATTCCAGTCGGATGCAAGATTTGCAGGATTCCAGTCGGATGCAGGATTCCAGTCGGAGTTCAACGAGCGAACGGATGATATCCCGGAATATAGTGTCATCATATATATATATATATATATATATATATATATATATATATATATATATATATATATATATATATATAAGAATATCGTCACACTACTCGTATAAATGTGGAGAAAAAGAAAACTTATGATAACATAATTTTGACATCAAATGAAAAATCTAAAACGACATGGACAGTAGCTCTATTCAATTATCAATTACTCCGTTGGAATTCAACAGAGATATTTTGCTTCTCTATCAGCGGAGATAACGAAAACCATCACACCTTCAGTAGTAGATGCTACGACCTACATCTCCAGATCAACTAGACCCAATTTCTCTTTTTTTATGTCAGCAGTTTTGGAAAGTGATTTTAAGGAAGTGATTTTGAAACTAAAAAAACTCTCATTGTCTTGACTATTACGTTAGTAATAAACAATAGCATTGAACAGGGATGTTTTCCGGATGAATTAAAAGTGACAAAAATTCTTCCAGAAAGCAATATTTTGTCTGGAATGATCGGGAATCTACTTTATTGGATATTACTAATGAAGTGCCTCAGGGTTGTATCCTTGATCCACTTTTTTTAATAATATACATAAATGCCATTGTGTTTGCAACAAATATCGCTTGCAGTATACTCTATGCGGATGGCACATCATTGATTGAATCGGAGAAATATCTAAATAATTTAAATTAAAAGGCTGTTACTGCAATCTCCATGATTGAGCAGTGGTTCTCTTGTAAATAAACTTAAATTAAATTCCGATAAAACAAAGACTCTAATTTTCAATACCAATAGAGGAAGTAAAAAATCTGAACCGGTTAAACTCCTTGGTGTTTACCCAGATGCATTTTTAACGTGGTCGCCTCATGTGCGGTAAATTGTCATCTTCTCAGGGTTTTGTTCTGAGACAACTGCGAGGTTCCATCAAGCAAAACACTCTCCGTATAGTTTATTTTGCAATGTTTCATAGTGTCTTATCATATGGACTACTATTGTGGAGGAACACAACGGAGGCCGAGAGAGCCTTTAGATTGCAAAAATCTGTGGTTCGGGGTTTTGAAATTGAAAATACTTACGTTACCATGTATGTTTATCCTATAAACTTTTGTTGCAATCCACTGAAGTTTGTCTGTCTTTCAGACACGGCTACATGACTCCAACAGCTGACAATATCATAACATCCATATCGAGGTTGTGTACTACACAAAAAAATAAACTTAATCTAGATTTGTATAATATTTTTGCAAACACTCTTTTCCGGTCCAAATATATTGATGTTAAACGACTTTTCATTAAAAAATTCAAACAATTTTAAAAAAAGTTTTTTGAAGAGCATTGTTTCTATTCTATAAACGAGTTTGTACTCTTCCTGACTTCAAAAATACGTTTTTGTATTTATAAGTGGTCAATAAACGATTATTTATTTATTTATTTATGTATAACAAACCGTAATTTTAAACGGTTTCTTTAGAAAACTTATTTTGCTGGCAATTTTCTATATCTTTAATTTAAGTTTGAATTGTTTTTGATTACTTTTTTAAAAGTAATTTTCTAAACAGCACAAACAAACCAAATCCGTAAGACCTACCGAATATTCTGTTTCATTTTTGTTTGTTTGCCCGGTGGTTATATTCCAAATAGTATATAATAGCATATATAATAACTTACGAGTCTATTTGACACGAGCGGAGCGATTGTTTAATAAACGAATGACTTAAAAAGTTTACCGAACGTGTTGCACACTATACTTTTTCTAAGTTTTTAGATATACTTTTGCAAAATAAAACGAATACGTTCCCTGACATGACCATCAGAACTGACAAACGTCAAAATTCAAGGCGTGGGAACTATCTCCGAAAACATCCGATTGTTTCCAAACTCGTGCGGTAAAAAGCCTAGAAATGTCAGAAATGATTCGGATCTGTGGGATACGAGACTGACGTGGTAAAGTGACGTTTCCGGCACGGTAGATCGCTGTGTAATTAGGCATTTTACAGACGAGAGTAGATGAACTATATTATTTGGAATGTTTTGAATATGGCCATATATTTATTTATTTATTCATATAATTTGATGGTATTTATATCCTCTTTTCCCTTTTAAATCCAGTGCTTCATTGTTAGGATTGCATTTCATTACAATCAGGAAGAATTTAATGAAAAACAAAAGGTAGGAATCAAAGCAAAGCAAAGTAATAAACTTTATAAATAAAAAACAAATACAGGGAAAAGTGATATTTATATCTTGGTAATTATCAAAGTGGTCAAAGCCATAAAATCAATGGCATTAAAAGCCTAAAATACGAGCTTCTTGTTTTCAAAATTATCTTTAAAATGAAATTTCTTATGTTTATTACTATCGTCCCCTTATAAATTGTGGATATATTTCCAGAATTTTCTTCTGTTGCAATCACAAATGAATTGAAAGTAAAATAAATTTCTACCTGGTTTCAGGCGAGCATAATTAGGACAGAAAAACTGTAGCGGTTTCTAATACCAAACTTTTGGAAGAACTAGTGGTGTATTTGTTTCTCTAACTCATGGTTTTCAAAAATTTTAATAAGACGACTTGAATGTATTCAATGGGGTTAGTTTAGTTAATTTAATAGATTAGTATTTATTTAAAAAATTAGGAAAAATATGTCTCGTTGACAGATTGTTGAAAAGTTTTTGGCCAAATTCTGTACATTTCTGCAAATTTTTTACTTGTGACTGTTTTACATTTGAAGTAAACAACTTAAAAAGTCGATTATTTACAACCCGAAAGATTACTCGTTCGTTGCTTAGTAAACCAAATCGCAAATACTTCTATTCCGCCGTATTTAAATATTTCTATGTTTCTTCAAGGGCATAGAGTCAAACAGAGCGAGAGAAGACTCCGCAGACTTCAAAATCCGACTCCGCAAAGAGTTAGTTAACCGAGACGGCCACAAGTAAATCGACACTATCAATCTGTACCGAATTTTATCACGTCTTGTTTTAGGGAATTGTCTAAAAACACAAAGTTTGTTAGTCTGGCCTTCACAGATCCCCAAAAGGAAAAATCATATCACGTTCATACGGAAACGTTTTCTAGTTTTACGTTGTTCATGTTTTTCATAGTGAGATTAGCGATAGGACTGAGTATGTTTATAGTATTGCCGAGGTAAGTTGGTGTAAAATAGAACGGCCACCGATGTTTGTTTGTTTCCTATATTTTCGTCTTAAAATAACCTCGAGTTATTATGAAAGATATACGAGCTTTCAGTGCAGATCAAAGAGGAATTTCACGAGAATTCCAATTTAAAGTTTTCAAGACCAGAGAACTTTAGAGGAAGTGGAAATAAAACTTTGTGTGACTTATTTCTTTCCTGGCGCTGCTAAGTTACCTGAGTGAATTCCATAACGTTTTGCAAGCGGGTTAAAATTTTATGATTCAGATATATTGTTACGTGATTTGTTTTTTTTTTTCGTCGTTCTGTAGTTTTTTGCAGTATTAAAACTTAAAGTTTGTTGTCAAAAACCGTTATTACTTTAGCAATGACTTTAGCGAATTAGTTTACACGATTATGTTATGTTATATTAGAAACACATAATTCTAATTCAAGAGCTGATTTTAATTTTGTTGGTCCTGTAATATAAAACCCACTTGAATATGCGTGATTTTCAGATTCAGGTGCATTTTTGTCAGTAGTTGTAGGGACTAAAACCTTCCGATTAGTGACTTTCAGGTAACAAGAAGGAGAGCGGCACCTGGTCATTATGTATTGTATTTTTTCCACAATTTATTTATGGCAGAGGGCCAAAGCTATTGGTGTTCTATTTCAACGAATAACCCATAGGTTTCAGTTCATTAACTACAATAATATTCTCTTTTGGATGTAGATTATATTTCCAGTAAAAATTTCAACAAGAAACGTTCTGAGACATAGGTCAAATGTAATATATAATAATCGAATTTGTATTTTTATGAATAAATGTATCATGCTGTTTCATAAAATCGTCAATCTAAATCTTCTCGATATTATACATAGTATAAGTAACATTCCTGAATTTCTCTGGTCTATAATCTAGTTAAAACCACAAAGCTATTGTTACGAGATTGGCTACCTTGTCAAATATTGAAATTGTTTTTTTTTCAGCGACCTCTCTGTAGATATTACCTATTGCGTGGAAAATGTAGTGTTTATAATCCTAGTTTTGATAGCCATAGCAGAGGAATTTCCAGCTGTGGTAAGGCAACTATAATTTCTTACCAAAGTATAAATCACTTTTGAAAATATTTTAGTCAAGATGTTGGACAACGTTTAAAGAGTCCATGCTACTTAGACGAATACTGTCAACAATGTGCGTTATTCTCATAGGTACTATCAACGTTGTAGATACGGTGAGGTCATTATATTGCCGTGTTCTCGCATTGCTTCACTCCTACGGTTTCAGATTTCCTGCGTTCGAATTCAGGAAGCCACGAACCGAGAAAATTGTTCAGACACGGACAATATTAACGAGGCCTGCTTATATCCATCCTACTTCACGTACTTTGCCGTCTTGATACTCATTGCGTCGTCGTTGCCGGCCTGCCTCTCGTACTTGTGGAAAACTTTTTTAATGGTTATTATTTCGGCCTCACAATGCTTTGTGAATATCTTTGTGCTGCCAGACACACTCGACTGCGGCGAAAGCGAGGATTACGGAACACACTGGACCAGGTTAGGTTATAATAATATAATTATTCATTTTCATTGTCCTTTAAAAAGTTCTTGGAAAATATAGAGGGGAAAGGAACATGGGGAAAATAGAAAGTATTCTTCATAAATTTTAAAATCCCTCGGAAGATGGTATAGCAGAAGTTTTTTCCTTGTTTTTCCTTGGACCCTCTGCAGATTGGGTTTTCTGTTTTAGTTTAACGAAGGGGAAATCCTCGCTGTCTGGTCTTCTGCTCACCGCAACTCTGGCTTTAGCGTTCCTGGCGAGACACGTGAGTTTTCCTTAGGAAACTCCCAAGAATTGAACCACAAGCGAGTCGTTTGCTTTCTAGATGGAGCAGGTAGCTAGAGTTTTGTTCCTCTGGCGCTCGGAAGTCGAGGAGCAACGCCACTGTGCGGAAGATATGAAACGGAGGAACGAAGCTCTGGTGTATAACATTTTACCGCCGCACGTGGCGGCTCATTTTATGGGAAATAAAAACAGAAGTCATGACGAACTATACTCCCAGAGTTACGCGGAGGTGGGGGTTTTGTTCGCCTCGATGCCTAATTTTTCAGGTAGGGAAACATTTTATTTTCGTAATATTGGTTATCAAACCCAAAGCATTTTTCAAATTGGTCGTTATATTTTGAGTTAGTGAATGGCCGTAGTTTCGAATTTGATGTTTTTATTGTCAAATTTAGTACATACTACTCCTTAAATTTAATGTTCTTTTTTTGTAATTAATTAATTTAGTAATTAATAATACTTTTTTATGTAATTTTCATTAATTTAAAATTTACTCTACTCTAACGTCTCACTGCTGCGAGAAGGCCGCCTATTATGCCGGTGCTGCTCCAAGATTCCGCCATAAATTCTAAAAGAAACAAAATTTTTTAATTAAAATAACGGAGATCGCATTGCCAAATTAAAACCTTCATTAAAAAGTTGGAAAACTCAATTCCGGTGTGATTTACTGAGAAATACGGGCCGTTTTCGTCGTCTTTGAACCGGGAAACATTTACATAAATTTTTTTCGCTTTGTTTTAGACTTTTATTCAGAAGAAACTGTAAATAATCAGGGGTTAGAATGTTTGAGGTTTCTAAACGAAGTAATTTCAGATTTCGATGCGGTAAGTAACGACCAAATAAATCTGTTCCGAGTTCGGAAATGACGTTTGTTTTAGCTGTTAGAGCTTCCCCAATATCAAGATAACATAATAAAAATAAAGACAATCGGCTCGACTTACATGGCAGCCAGTGGCCTAAATCCAACGAGACAAATAAAGGTAAGGACGGGAATCAATTTGTCTAAATTTCTTGTACATATTCTCTATTTGCGGTTATTTAAAGGAAATATACTAAGAGCTTAGCTGAAGCCCTCGTCCTCAAAATTAAATTCCCCGTACTTTTGGTAACTCCGCCCTTCAAAAGTTCGCGTGTTGAAAGATTATCCGTGACCCAATTTGTCTCAGGATGAATCACCATTTATTAAGATACTAATAGTGGGAACAATGGATCATCTTGTGAATAAATTAATACCGTCGACGACGCTTTGAAATCGGATGAACGAATTTATTTGTCACTGGATTAATTTAATATACAGGGACATACAAGAAAGTAGGCGAATGCTTTAACCATATATTCCTTTGTAAAACTAATATCACATAATATGTCGAATTCTATTTAAAGGGTTGCTTTGATTATACAGGGTGTCAAAGTTAACTATCTAAAATGCATATTGATTATATCCATTAAATTATTTCTTTATTTCCAGATCTTATATCCATTGATTGTGTCCAATTTTCTTATTTAGTCTGGAACATTTCAAGCAATATTTGGCGTGCAGTCTCTTTTAATTGAATAAAGAAAATTGTAAAATATATAAATTTTTACACAACACAAAAAAGTTAGAGAAGTTTTAGTCCTATTTTTTTTTCAGTAATTCTATGAGCTTGCGAGAAACTATTTATTAAACACAAAGCAAAGCTGTTAAAACTGTTTTTCTTCTGAACTATTATACACAAACCGAAGAAGTATAAAAGAGAACGTATTTGCGGGACGTAGAGAAGTTGAAGGCATTTGAGGAAATCAAATGCGTTTACTGCATTCAGAATGGAACATGCAAATCATATCTGACGGCGCAACGAGTAACCATCTTCTATAGATACAATGTATAAAGCTACAATCGCTTAAAAAACCCTTTAGTAAAACCGCAAAAACTGTTCAATATTGAGAAGTATCTTCTTCATTAGTGCCAAACAATGTACCCATCCCATTTCTAAAATCGAACTGCAAGTTTCTTATGTCCGTTTCGAGGGTCATGAAAATTCGGTTGTGGATAACCTTAACAAACACTTTTAATGGTCAGCAGAGGGTGTGGCATTTGGCTTCTTAGGGATCGCAACGAAAGTCGACTAAGATATCAATTACATCGTCATTAAATTTTGAAGTACTTTGAATAGCTACAGGAAAATGGTGCAAGTAATAAAAACATTAATTCGCTGTACTATTTACAAAACTTCTGTTCAGTCTTGGTTAAGCTCTGAAAAAGCCAACAGAATGATTGATTAAACGTGGAATGCAGAAGTTTTGTAAATATTATTACGGTAGCCTGTAGAAGTTTCTTTGAAAAAAAAATTGTGTACATTGTTTACCGAATATCGTTTTTTTTTAATTAAGGCTTAGAGACCAGTGAAATATCACTGCTCAAATTTATAAACAAATAAATAAGCAAATGGTATGCATCAAATGTCAAGGACATATCTCGAAATACCCGATAATTTCGTAATAATAAAGAAGTAATTTTAGAAGTTTACTTTAAACCCCTGTCAAGCCTTAAAAGGAAAATAATATGGAAAGTCCTGCTATTATAGAGAAAATATCTAGTTATTGGATAGATCTATTTTTTTGTAATACCCTATATAACAATAAATTAGACGTGAAATTTAAATGAGCTATTTCTCCACCGTATTAAGTTAGCTCAAATTGATCTTCATAAAATAACAGTGATGTTATGAATGAATCGCCTAGTATATTATTCTATATTTCAATACGCATCTAAATAAGTGACAAATTGAAAACTTATATGTTAGTGGTTACTGGCAGGAAGAAAATCAGTAACTACCATCTCAAACCAATCCAATGTGAGGATGACGGGCGTATATTGTTACCTCCACTTTATTTATTTAGCGAAAACTGCTTGTCCCTGCGCCTATCTATCAGGGAGCCGATATGAACAAGATTTTACAGCAAGAAAGGGTGTATATAATGTCGCCAATTTAGCAATAAGTCAAAAAAACAGATAATGTTTTGTTTTATTAATTTAATAAGAATCTAGCATAATCTGCATTGGGTTAGCTAGAAAATATCACGTAACATTGAAAACGATGAAGCGAAAGTTTAAAGAGGAAAATGGATATTTTGTCTCCAACACCATGAAATATGGCCAAATCTCGAGCAGACATTATGACGTCACTTACAAATTAGTATAATTTGACCTAGATTGTACCTCGTACTAAAAAGAAATGAATGAGTAAAATATTTTGCATTTTCTTGATTTTAGTACCTCTACTTTTTATATATCTCGTATAATACTTAATTGATTAATTAATGGTACTTTTTTCTTAAAATAGTACCAACCGTCATCGTATGAGATTACAGAACCCCAACCTGGCGAAAATTCTGTGCTATTTCCGTAATATCTAATCGTTAAAGTAAGGGCCCGATGACAAAGTTTAGAACCGCTTAAGAGGAGTAGAGTTTACGGTACGCATTACTGCTGCTGTAGAGTTTCGAGTGATTGTCCGATTTTCCAGAGAAACTTGCCAATTTAATTAAATAGCATTAACGAAATTTGTTGCCGGCAAAAATTGCACCTCCGCGCTTATAACTTAATTTCAATATTTGAGAGAGCACTCGCTCAACGAAGTTTCGCGCGGGTTTTATGTTTCGAAGTGCTCTTGAGTACTTAGCACAATAATCAATTTTGCGTGTCACCAAATTTTCCGCTTTTGCTACAATATTTAAGATGTTCTGTTTGTAATCCAAAATCAATGATACTTATAAGACGAATAACGCAGCAAAAAATAATATCGTGACCGGGCAATCAGCGATATTTTATCAGGTACGGTATGGTCATTCCTTGCTACTTTCGAAAAATCCGCGAAATCGAATTTTTCGCTTGGCAAGGAAGTTCATATCTCGGCAACGGGAGGTCCTCGGGGATCCCCATTGGTACACAAATGATCAGCGTCGAAAAAAGAAACTTTTTTTTTCTGTTTGTCGGTTCTCCATTCTCTATAGACGCTTCATAAAAACGCGAATAATTTCGAAACCGTTGAAGCCATGATGCTGAAATTTTCATCCTTTTAAACTGGCCACGAGATACATAAGCACATAGGAAATGACTGCGATTGGAAATTGGCGTCTGTCATTTTTTGCGATTTTCTTCTGTTTTTCGTACATCGCTATGAAACACGATAACTATCTGAGATTTGTAGCTATCGATTTCAAAATTAACGCAAATATAACGGAACCTATTGAAATTGGGGGGCCAAAACCGGATTTGCAGAGTATCGAGAAAAAAATCATTTCCCAAAAACGGTGTAGACCATCGAAAAAATTCTTGACCCAGAAGACGCGCGAGATCCTGGCCAAAATTATTTATTCTTGATGATTTTTTAAAAATGTACATGGTGCGCCGGCAAATTGCAAAAAAGTGAAAATTGGGTTCCCCTTATATGGATAATTTACCATAACTAGACGGCTGTGTTTCAGCTGCCATTTTCTTTCACGCGACCATATAGTCCGTATAGACTGCTAAAACTTCTGTATTTTAGGTTTTCACATATTGTTCAGGGTGTTCGGGATATTCTGTACCACATTCAAAAATGTAATAGATGCCTCGAATTTGTAGCTATCGATATCAAATTTAATAGAGAAGTAAAAGTCCACATCCACATCTAAACCGTAGAAACTGGGAACAATCAAGATTTACGTAGCATTTTTTTTTTAATTTTGAAATTTTTGTTTTTCTTCCAGAAAAAACAAAATTTCTTGAAAACTTTTAACTTGATCGGCAAAATTATTTTACTAAGAGATGCCAAAAATTCATTACTATAACTTCTACTTCAAGCATTTTTTCGATTATGTACCGGGTTTTCAAATTATAGACAAAAATCTAAAAGACCCTGAACATCATACTTCTCGCTATTAAATTATTAGCCTTAAAACAAAATTCCTGAAAAGTATGGCCAATTGGTTTAAATAGTGTTATAGGCCACATCGAGAGCTACAACTTTTGTATTTACGGTTTTTCACATACGCTGTCCGAGATATTTGAAAAAATCCAAATGAAAATCACCATTTCTCGCCCTAGTTACGTTTGTTGATCAGAGAAACACTTTCTTAAAAAACTTTAATTTGCTTAAAGAATTTTATTGTCGTTAAAAACGGGAACGATTTATAACAACAAAAGCGAGTTGACTGCCTGAAGTTAAGAACAGAACTGGTTCTCCTGTCTCAAAATTATCTTAACGTTAAGTTGTATACAATTACATAAACGGAATAAAGCGATATCTAAATGCACACTGTGCGATTAAATTATACTAAGGTAAGCAGTTTATTGGCATGTAACTCCTCCCCTCATAAGTGTGAGCATCCCTGCTGAAGGGGGTGAACCGTGTCCGTCGGGTATTCTTCATCTTTAACCTTCGTGTGATCTTTCTTTTTAAAGACGATAACCCTATAACTAACATAACAGCAAAATACAATTATACATAAAGGATTATTGTCCAGATGCTGACATCTCTTGTTCTAATAGGGTTGGTTAATTCTTTGATTTCTTGAGTCTGTAGCCTAAAGGTAGCTCGAATCGTGTTCAGGTCGTCCAGTTGAATATCATCTAAGACGAGTGGTTCAATGTTCGACGTCGGTCTTTCCATTTCTAGGGTTCTAAAGTTTATCGACGGGAGTTCAATATTTTTATGTCGAATCTTTGATTCTTCATAGATTTTTATAACAGTTCCTTCTAACTTTATTTGGCACTCTCGCACCAATTCCAGTAAATACGGATCTTCTAGGGGAATACTTTCTTGTTCCTTGCCGCACGTTTGAACGCTAACGGTTTTTTTCGGAGACACTATTAAAAATTTATTGTTCGATAGTTTCTGGATCTTGCACTCCGACATTATCACTGGGAAAAGTTTACAGTTTGACACATTTTGTTTAAATTGGAGAAGATGAACTTCACAAGGTGATAACTTATTAATCTGTGTTGGATTACCAT